CTCGTAAATGCACCCACACACGGCCGCAGAGGTGCACGTACAGGGCTACATGTGTGTGTGCGAGTATATGTACCCATAGCTGTATGACCCTCTACATATACTTCACCCTGGTATGCATATACATACATATATCTACAAATATAGATATAAATACACACATATATATAGGATGTACAGACCTACATGTAGGTGTATATACAAGGCTGCAAATTGTATATAAATATATATATGTATACATACATACGTAGTTACGCATTTGAGAGAGGAGAGAGTTGGTATCAATAAATAAATGATGTGGGGTTTGTATGTATTACATAGGTGAGTACGCGTACGTAGTAGAGCGTATCTCACGAGTGGGCTGTGCACGCTCCCGCGGGTGTTGGAAATGAAGTAATTTGCAATACCTGTATGCAGTGTGCAGGCCCAGCTCCCCCAGCGGCCCCTGCCCTCCCCGCAAGCACCGGGGCAGAGGGAGTGACTCAGCGGCTGGGCCGGGTGGTGTCCAGACAGTGTTTGGCGGAGATAAGACCCCCCTCAACATCCTCCCTTTATTCCGGGCTTTTTGTTTGCTTTTGTCCTGACACGCAAAACAAAAACTCCTCCGGGGACTGCAGCGGCCGAGGCAAGTGTAAGAGGGAGAGCGGTGATGACAGAGGAGAGGTGTGCCAAAGTAAGTGACCGAGTCAGTCCCCAGGGCTCCTGATGGAAAATACGGGATGGGAGCTGTGCCATATGCATATGGTGGGACCCACCCATAAACTCTGCAAGAAGTTTGCGGGAGTTTCTACCATTACTTTCATCTTCCTGAGTATTTCTCACCTGTATGTTAACTAGGTGTCCACAGATAAGTGGTGTGTGGGCAGTCACGCCTTCAAATTTTCTCCAGCCACCCTGGATGAACTGTAACTCTTGAGACCATGTGGTCACCATTTGTTTTATTCAGTTCTGATATCCTGTGCCTTTAGTGATGATACTTATTATGGTGCACCTCTGCACAATTTCTCAATGTGAATTTTCAATTTGGGGTAGTATTTTGTATCTTGTCTCTAGGCAAGGAAGAAGGTTTAGTGGGACATGAGACCTCAGTGAGCATGAACTTCATTTATCCCGAGATCTTTTATGCTTATTACCTGTTTTCTAATTGCTTTATCCAGTTTAAAGTATCTTCCTACAGTCAGATTCTTTACCTGACAAGCAGTTTCCTTATGTAAGACATATCAAGTGCTTGATGCATTTCTTTTGTTACAAAGTTTAAAACATCCTTGCTGGAGTCAGTCACCTGTAGAACTCCTGCAAGAGTTAATTTACATCATTAGCAATTAGTAGTACCACTGTCATTTTTGAAGGTAAATTTTAAAATTATTCTTCCAATATTGACCTTGTTAGGAATTAGAGGTTTATTAATATATCTGTGAAGCTCTAAAGGTAGCTGGATGTGAATAGCCAAGTGCGAAAATAAATTGTATAAGGTCCTCTTAGCAGAAGACACAATTAGTATAATAAAATTAGGAAATGAGGTACAAAAAAACCATTTTTTATCTTGAATTTGTGTGCATATATTGTGCAGGTCTTCTAGCAAAACTGTCTGAATTTTTACCTTGGAACACTGGAATGATAAAGCTCTTTTTATCTCAAACAGGGTCTGTTGTGCATTGCCTTGGAATATTATCAGTGTTACGCAAGTTGCTAGTAACATTTAGTGGTTTATAGCAGCTTCTTTCTAAGTGAATCTGCATGGGGAGTGATTACATGCTGCACTGTAGTATTCTGACATTTACATTTTAAATCCATTTCTGAAAATGAAGCCTCAGAACATCCCTATCAATTGTTTCCAAGGTCTCTATAATATTTCCATGTCAGCTATGGCCTGTATTAATTCCTCCAATGACCATCAAAGCTTGTTAGAGAATTGCTTAGAAAAAGCAAATGTAGCTCAGATCTTTGGTTACAGCTTGCAACTACGGGTCTCTGTGAACAGGACAAAAGCAAGGCGTCATTTTTTGCCTCTGAAAAAGTGTGACTTTTCAAAGTCACTGTCACAAGAGGACTGGGATTACCCGTGAGGATGTGGTCAGCATGCAGTGGCAGGGCAGCATCTACGCTGCTTTTACAGTGGAGGACAGAGGCTGCCTGGCCTGCTGTAAGGCCTGATGGTGCCAAGTTAGCCCACCAAATTCTGGTAGCAAATTTGAGGTGGCAGGACAGAGTAGTTTCAAGCAGAGTCTGCACCATACATCATGCTGCCACAAGCTTCTCACCTGCTGCAACCAGAGCAATTGGAGTGCTCTTACCAGATTTTTTGTGTCATCAGAGTGTAAGAAGTACTTTGAGCTGGAAACACGCTGAAGTTTTTTTGTACATACAAAAATAAATCCAAGTCATATCAGGTGATCAAAGCAGCCGTTAAACCTGGTTTACCCACAGCATGACCCACTGAAGCCATTTTCACTGTTCCCTGCAGGTGGAGCAGTATGTTGGTGAAATTAAAGGTGGCCTGAGACCAACCATGAAACTCACAGTCATAGGCATGGTACATTCCAAACCCAAGAGGTAGGTGAAGGGACTGCTTGGGGTTTCACCCTGTTTTACATGCTCCTACCTTTCTTCTAAATCAGACATTTTTCTTGGAGGTATGTGCTCTTGAAGGAAGTAAAATAAATTAACAATTTATGGCCTTACTTAATTTTCCTGCACTCAGACTAAGATTATAAGGTCAGGAAGGAGTTAATTGTTTAGCCTTTCTGACTGCCCTGACAAGATTTTCTACTCCTTGCCCTTATCTACTGTGAACTGGAGGGAACAAAAAAGTGGCATTTCTCCTTCAGGAAAAGGTGCAATTCTCAACCTGAATCTTGGTTGTCTGTGGGGGGTTGGAATCAACACCATTTAAAAACCAGTTTTGGCACAGGAGCTGGAGGTTCTTTGCTGGTTTTTATCTGGATAGCAGCAACTATGCTCATCATTGCGCCTTTTTTGCATCTACAGCTATCAGCTCCACTGCTTCCACTAGTGAAGGGTATGCCGAGGTTTCTTTTAGGACACAAACGAGTACATGTTGAAGGGTTTGATTTCAGTCAAGACAGAGGGAAAGCAACATCAGAAATCATTAACATTCTACTGGATACTGGGGCAGGAAACAAAGACCAGCTGGGTCTCATCTGTTTCTCCAGCTTCTGAGCCTGTAGAAGCCCTGTGTTTCAGTCTGACACGAAACCAGCAGCTATCTCTAGTCTCTATAAGCATCTGCCACGTTCACCATGTCCTTTCGCATTTCTGAAAGTTCCAGTCATTTAATAGATCTTTTTTCAGCTTTTCAGTGACTCTGCTCTGTGATCCAGTGGATGCCAACAAAGATGTCGGGCTGTTATTTACAGTTAACTTCAGTGAGAAATCCATCACCCGAAATGCACGAATTGCTGGGAAATGGGGAAGAGAAGAGAAGACTATTCCCTACTTTCCATTTACTGCAGGTGACACTTTCAAGGTAATTTTTCAGGTACTATGAATAGGGTAGAGAAAAGGAGGGGAGAAAAGCTGAAGGCTGTGTATATGACCACAAACAGCCAGCCACTGACATTGCCAGGTTAACTAGTCTAGTGTGGCACAGACAGCAGCAGTTCAAGCCCTGATGGGAAAGAGGCATCTCTTTCTCTAATCACAGCGAGTACCCAGTGGAGATTTGCAGTACCATCTCAGAAGAGGGTAGGTTATTTATTAGGGGCATTTCAGAAGAACTGTTAGACTTTGTGCTTCACTATCCTCGTAATATTTAGTTCTAAGTCCATGCTGTTGAAATCAGCCCCGCTGCTAATCTTCTCTGTCCTTTTCCACTGCAGATGGAGCTCTTATGTGAACACCAGCAAATACGAGTCTTGCTTGATGGACGGCAGCTCTGTGACTTCACTCACCGCATTCAGCCTCTGAGCTTGGTGAAAGCTTTGCGGATCTCAGGGGATGTCAAGCTTACCAAAGTGGCTTGAAAAAAGGATACCAGGATATCACCAGAGGACTGAGGAAAACGTACTGTCTCTTGTCTCAGACATGTTTTGTCTTTTTCCTCTGGCTGATTCTGAAGAGTGGGAACTGTATCTTTTTAATTCACTGATGTGTTTGAGATACACACTTTTATTCCCCCCCCATAAACACTCACAGCAATTGCAGACCTATGGCTGGTCTGGATACATCTCAAAGCCTTTGCTGAGATACACTTCTGGCCTCCCAAACGGCAAGATTTATGATGTTATGCAGTATCTCACATCCTTTTGGCTCCTTACACCCTCAGGCATGCCAGGTGGCAGAGCTCAGCCCTCTGTGGTGGGTGGCTGTTGTTAGTCTTGTGACTAGAACTGGGCATTATGCAGGTGGTGGGTCTGAGAAATGAGAAGCAGGAGATTTTCTTATAAATGAATAAGGGAGTCTGATAGGCCCCAGCAAGGCTCACATTATCAGGAGAGAACTGCTTTTTCTGGAAGCTCTGCTCAGTCAGCACAAAAGCATCTTTGCCTCCCAGCAGAGAGCAATAAATGCCTTACCTGCCTTACCCTGTCTCTTCCAGGCAGTTTTTCCGGAATTGAAAGGTTTTGACAGCTGTGGATTTCACAGTCTTCTCTGGACCAGCCCTAGGAAATGGTATCTGCAGCTGAAACTGCACTGCCCATTCTTGTTCTTGCATATAATTAAAACTGCACCTTTGCTGGCAAACTTCTTTACAAGCTCTCTTAAATATTTGAATGCATGTAAGTGTTATGCTGTTATTTCGTTGCTCTACCTTCTGAGGAAAATCCTAAATCCATGGCTATTTTAATAAATAAGCAAGTATCATGTTCTGCCTTTGGTGTTGAAAGGACTTCAGTACACAACTCAAAGAACAAAACATCTATACAGAAATGAATCTGTGGATAGAGGGTTATCAAATTCCTCTATGACTTCAGGGAAGATATAGAGCATGCTGCCTTTTTAAAGGCTCTGCAGAATCTGGCTGTCAGGTACAGGTACTCAGATAAAACAAGACATTTTATGAAAATAGTGTATCCAGCAGGCTGATTGGGTATTTGAAGAATTTCCTACATTCCATTTTACTCTCTGGTGTCTCAGTTTATATATAAATCTAAAATTATAGTGTACTAAACCCTTGTTTTTCATATATTCAAACTGCCCTCTGAGAAAAATCACATCTCTAAATAGCACAGGATATTGAAATCCACTATTTTTTTATTTAATTATATCAAATACAAGTTTAGTAGACAAATAATGGAAAACAATAATGACTTGAGATAGAAAAAGCAATAGTGAGGACTGCTACTGTAGTTCTCTGTCCAAATGGTGCTCCAACATAAATGGACTTATGGTAATTATCAGAAGGAAAAGTCTTGCTTTTATGGCTGAGGAATTTCTTCCAACATATTCAATACCAGAAATTGTCTGGAACTTCCACTGTTTTGATTTGATACTCAGGATCCTGTTCTGATGTGGGACATTACCAGCATAAGAGTAATCTATATGGGTGAGGAGCATGATCCTTTGTTCTTTTCCAGTCTAACAGAGAAGTAAATAGTAGAGCAGATGGATGGACAGACAGACCCCTTGTTTGTTTTGCAATGCTTATTATCCTGGCAGCTGGGTTGTGGCTTAGCACAAGATTCATGTGGTACACCAAGAAAGGCAGCCTCAGACACCAGCACCTTTCATGATTTATACATTTCAGTCTTAACTAGCTAAGTTTATGAGCCCCTTTATAAAGGGGAAAGGAACAAGACAATTCTGCTTTAAGATAAAGCACAACATGGATCTGTCAGACATAGACTAAATACTTGTATAAAAGATCCTTTTCTTCCATCTTGGAATATCTCATAGTTTCTTAGTAAAGCCCCATTTGTCTGTATCCACCTGGTTTTGTCCCTTGGTTAGATGGTAAATTCAAGGAGGGGGGAATTATTCTGGATCTACTTGATTTGGTCTGCATGGTCTGCCAGGAACTGGTAGGTGCTATGGTGATTCAAATAATGAACATTGACTATCAAAGGAAAAACAACACTCCCAGGCAATGAGAGAAAGAAGTTGGTCATAAATGTAGTTTGTCATTTGGCACAGAGTTCGCATCACTCATGTCAGCGGTTTGATTGCCTCAATCCACTGCACTCTCTCTGCCTTGGAGCTGGCCTGGATGTAATAATGAATGTCATTTTTGGTAATGATTTTGAAAAGGTTGCCTTGCACATTGCCCTTCACTCCTGCAGAGAAAAAAAACCCGACAGATCAGGAGAGTGCACAGAGAAAATCTTTCTGGCAGATGTGAAGCTTCATAGGGAAGAATTTGAATTTTGTGAATGAGGGAATTAAATCTTTCTTTTTTATTATGGAGAAGACATCTAGAACTTTTGTGTCTGATTTCCCTCTTCAAAACCTCTGGAAGTGTTCAAGGCCAGGTTGGATAGGGCTTTGAGCAAACAGATTAAGTGGAAGTTGACCCTGTCTGTGGCAGGGGGATGGAAACTAAATGATATTTGGGGTCTCTTCTAACCCAAATATTTGTTGATTCTACAATTCTATGAAAATATAGTATAGACATTCTTGATGTAGATTGTATGAACTACTGTGCACTCTACCATATAGCTAAAATGTTCTCTGTTTAGATGGAGACTAATACTTGAGTTATACAGTGGAATAATGATCCCGTACTATTTTGCACAATAGATTAGGTTTTCTCCTGCCCATAGCTAGGTTCCTCTTAGCAAGGAGCTCTATTATTCATCATGTGCCCCTGCCCCCAGAAGAAAGCTTTTTCAGACCTTCTCTTTAGAAAGATGTTCTGTGTTTGATATCTACGCATTGTGCTTACTGTCATAAAATAAATTGCTTTAATAGCAGAAACACTTACCTATGAGGCTGAAGCTCTAGACAAATGCCTGAGCTAAGCCTATGCTCCAGCAGAACTGTTTTTTATTGCTGTCTTTATGTCTCCCTGCATTTGGGTTCTAGCAGGTCAGAAAGGAAAAGGTAATAGCATAAGTTGAGAGGACAAGGAAATGGATGGCATCAGAGGATGCCTCAAGACTTGGAGGTATTCAACACCCCAAAAGAAAGTGTTTTCTCTTTGTCTGTTAACTCTGGAATATTAATCAGTCTTAGGACTGTCTCAGAGGTCATATGACCAAGAAAAGCCCATATAAAGAGAACTCCCAAGACATGTAGAAATAGCACTAAAAAAACCAGTCCCCTTTGGTGTGGACTGCCTGGCAGTACAGGGATTTGTAACATGCCTCTTCCCTTGCTTGCAAAGGGAAATGGAAAGTCAGCCCACTTGTGCATACAAGCAGGCATATCTACAAACTCGTACACAAAGACTGTATTGCTAAGGCATACACATAAATGTATGAAAGTTTAGGGACTTGTGCTCACCTGCTGGGACTCCGTTGTCCTCCAGAGCTGAGACAAGACAGCCACGAAGAGAGAATCCACCTACTGGCTTGTTATCTTCCTGCAAAGAAAAAGGAAACAGGGCATAGCTGGAAAATATCATCATTTCCCAGAGCACATGCGTTACTTTTATGAAGTTGGAGACATAATGCCAGTTTTTCCAGGCATGAGATATCTATGTCACAAAAGAAATAAATTAGAACATGTAGTTAAAGGCATGAATATATTTTTTCAGTCCCAGATGTTTCTCTGATGTAGCTGGGCATGGTGTAGATCAGTTAAAAGCACGAGGGTAGGCAATCACACTTCAAACGTATGTGTGGTTTTATCAATAACAACATACTGAATTATATATATTTCTGTAAGTATTTAGCTTGCTGCTTTTCACTGAGACTGTATGACAAAAGTCTGGCTCTTTTCCCAAGGTGGCTGGCACTCTTGTTTCTTGTCTTCAGGTTCCGCAGTTTCAGCTTATAGCCTTACAAGGATAATTTGCAATGAAAAAAGAAACACGATGGAACAGGAAACAAAAAATGAACTGTCTCCATAAGCTCTAAGTATGTTGTTCCTATTCTCTTTAAAAGTCACATCAAGCATTTCTATATATGTTCTTTTTGCAATCCTGTTTGGCTTTGTGGTACCCTAAGTATCTGAGCTGCTCACATTGATTATTATGTTCATGAACATAAATTCTACTTTTGATGAGAAAGTTTAAAACTGAGTAGTAGAAATTCCTATAAATACTTTGGCATTAAGAAGACCCTATTCAATACTGGGAAAAGGATGTTAAAAATCCCAGTAACAGTATGATCCTCAAATGGTGGGATTTCAGCCCAGAAAGGTCACAACCTGGGAAAAAAACCCTGCAGGACCCAGACTGCGAGAGTACAGCAAGGGATCAATCCCAAGAAGACTGCTACTGCTTGGCTAAGGAAAAGGAATTTCACTGGGAAAAAGGACAGAAGAGGCGGGGATACAAAATCCTACAAAGACAACTAAGGTCAGAAAGGTCTAATTCCTAAAAAAGGATAGAGAGGCCCAGAGTGACAGGAACATTTACAGCATAACTGTATCTTCACTATAATGTTTATGTTTCTAAAAGGATTTCTGGGGATGGTTATTGTACATGCAGGCAAACCCAATGGGAAGAAATTACAATGTCTGACTCAATTCAGAAGGCTGAATTATTTCTTTACTATAACTATGCTAAAATACATTAATATGCTATATAAAAGGAGAATACTAAAACTACATACTACTTTCTCTGACTCAAACCCTCCCACAACTTGTGACCCTCTCGCTGTAGTCCAGACACAGGTGGATCTGATTTGCCATCAGGCTCAAACAATCCTTACCAGAATCCAATCAAGCAATCACTCCAGGTAAACAATTCTCCAAACACATTCCACATAGGAAAAAGAAGGAGCAGAAATAGAAATTGTTTTCTCTTTCTCTCTGTGTACCTCTATGAATAATCCCGAGAGGGAGAGAATTGTTCTTGCCACAGATGGTAACTTTCAACTCACGTACCTTGGTGGGATCATAGTAGTGCAAAAAAGCAGGATCAGCTCTCAAAACAAATTTTCTCACCTTCCAGTTTTTCCTCTTGTGACCCTGAAAAATGGAAGAATTAAAATTGCTACCTCCTGAAATGACCATTTACCAACAGGCTGTAGGGGAGACATAAATAAGTACCAAAAAAAGAGGTTCTGGACCCAACAGAGAAAAGTAATTCCTAACATCTTGTTAATTCCCATGATCTTCTTCTTATCTTTCTTCTTCCATACATTGACAATTCCTTCATCTCTTCCTTCCCTGTGCAGAGAACTAAGAAAGCATAGTGACAGGAAAAATGGTTATATCCCTCATTCCTGCTTTTCATTTCAGATTAAATGTGAGTTTCACATTTAATCTGAAACTCACATTTCAGATTAAATGTGAGTTTCAGATTAAAACCCCATGCTGTGTGTGCTCCAAAGGGCTTCTGTCAGGTCCTATGGCAGCTCTTTACCCTTTCACTGCAGCCCTCTCACTGCTGCCAGGCCTATGCCAGGCTCTGGGAGCATTCCTCTCCTGGAGGTTTGGTGCTGGGCTCAGGGCCAGCCCGGGGCTGGGGCTCTGGGGCTGTCTCTGGCTGCCACTGCCCATTGGCAGAAGCTCCTGGGCAGCTCTCGTGTCCTGTGCTGACACTGCCAGCCTGTGGAGATCCTGCAATGCCATGCCAACCCTCATGGCACTCTGGCAGCTGGAAGAGGGAGGGTTGGGAAGCATCTGGTGATTCAGTTTGCACAACACTAAGGTTGGGACTCTTACACTTCAGAGTAAGGGTGTGGCCATGCACTGCAGGTAGGATTCCATTTGCAGGTGGCTATGTTAGGCTTTGAAAGAGTGATTGACCCTTATCTTGTTCATAGCAAGCTTTGGAAACTACATCTTGCAGACCAAGGATCAGATCTTGGAAACAGTTATTGCCAACAGGTACTTGTGCCCAAAAAAAATATGTTTCACTACCACCAAAGCACCCATGAGTACACAATGACTGCTCACAGGTAAATGTCCACTTCATACAAAGGTCAAGATACTCAGCTTTGAAATTTATCTGTGGCCAGCAACACATCCTCACTGTTCACACTACCTGGATAGGATAGGTTAAACCAAAGGAAGGTGGCTCTGTGTGAAAATAGATGTAACACCTCTGGTAGGATTTGGAGTTTGTGTGGTACTTCTGCTTTTGATGCTGTTTTGTACCTTTCAGTATATTCTCAATATGTACAGAATATCCAATTAATCCTGTCTGAGCAAATTCCATAGTTCACTTCTTTAAAACTGGATACTTTTAACTGCAATGCCTCATATACTCTCAGGCAAGTTAGTTCTGCTAGGCACATCTGTCCAGCCATCACTGTATAAGTCACATTTACTCTCTAAGAAACCCTAAGAGCTGTACTTTTACTTGTCTCCCAGGGCAGGTTCCAAGACTATGCTTACCTGTTTCACTAAGAATCCTTGCTTCACAATTGTGCCACTTAATTCAGAGATGTTAAAATTAACCTCTTCCTTGGAACTAGTATTTTTCTTACTGCTCTCAGCCTGCAAATAGGGAAAAGACATTTTTAATCTAAACAGACATTTAAGTACAAAATTCTGCTTTTTCCCCCCATTTTATTTTCCTTAGCTGTTTTTAGCTTATATTTCCTGAGTAAATTCTACTCCACAGCTCTGCTGCTCAGCCTTGTAGGACCAAGACTCACAGGCAACAAATTACAGCTGGAAATCTGTACATGCTGGGTATAAGTGCTATGGCCTTGAGCTGTAGCACAACTACAGCACTGCCTCCAATACGTGCAGACACAGCACTGCACTCCAGGACACACCTCTTTTCATGCCTAATTATGTAATTTGTAGATCCCTCCATATCCATGTAGCTATTTGGCTCCAGCAAAAGTGCTAGTGTTAGTACTACTAAAAGACTAGAGTTGCTCTTCTGCATTTACTTTCTCAGGCTGCACATTTGCTTTGGTTGCATGCTGTGCACCTGTACCCCAAACCAAGTGTGTGAAGAGGGCCAGAGGAGGTGCCTGTGTGGGCAGCTGCATCACTCACAAACATGTAGAGTGCGGTGGAGTCGTCGAGAAACTTCTCCGAGAGGTCACTGGAGCGCGTGGCCTCGGTGCTGCGGACTCCCACGGGCCTGATGAAGTTCTCATCCATCAGCATGGATGCCAAGGTGATGGCCTCGAATCGCGACACAGCAAAGCCGTTGGAGATGAGCCAGTCCACCAGGGCGGAACCTGCAGGAAGAAAGGCAGCTCTCATACCAAGACAGTGTGCTCTTCTGAGGGAAGGCAGACGGTCTCCTGCCACGCAGGTTTTCACTTGCAGAAACATTTTGGCACCATCCCAAAGATTGTCAGAGAAGTGCAAAGTTGACCAGAAGTCTGAGGTCCTAAGTGTGCTTCCATACATACAGAGAGTAAGAAAGAAAGGTGTTGGAGAGCTTGGCTGCAATGCCAGGTTCCACTGGGCCAGAGTTTATCTCACTATTAAGGCAGTACAGTAGCTCCCTTGTCCCTGCAATGTGGCATATCAGATGTGAGGTGGCTCTTTGCCTGCCAGATGTACCTGTGAAGGTCTCTTTATATCTGTTGCCTTGATCCAAATTGCGGGTCAGCTTAATTCCAGTGCTGCTGTCATACATTCTCTCCACTATATTGCTGCAAATGAGAACACAGCACAACATCAGCAGATGAGAGACACTAGCAGAAACAGCTGTATACTTTTGTCAGTGCCAGGGATGATTACCCACATAAGGATGGGAAGTATTCTAGGTACTCCCCCAGAAACACTGTCCTAACTACATTCCAGGAAAACTATTTTTCCAATAGCAGCACTAAACAAGATGCCTCACAAAGTATCTTTCAATTCAGAGCACTGCAAACTGATTTACAGTCAGCCCAATTTACCTGTTAACACAAATCAAATTTATGTAATTCTTTTGTTTCTTACTCAGTCTCCATTTCCTCTTATATAAGATGATGTACCCTAAAAATCTTAGTCCGGATTCTAGATATCAGCTTTGAAAACTCAGCAACAGGGCACAAAGCCACTACCCAGTGCTTCTCTGATGTTACATCTTTATAGGTAAGACATCTCCCCTGTGAGAACATTTGCACCTGACTAGGGGAGGTATTCAAGCCAGCAGTGAGGTGCCTGTGCAGAACCTACATACTCCCAAAAGATGATGGTCAGGAAAAAGTGCATTCCCCGGCTAAAGTATGTGCAAACCTAGGACAGGGAAGCCAGTTCAGAGGTCTGGCCACAGAGGAGCAAATCTGTGCAGAAAGGAGCTTCCCTTGACCCTCCCCATCCATCAACCGCCTGCTTATCCAGGCACTTTGCAAACTACAGCAACAACAGAAGAACAGATCATATACACTTACTGGAGGCTGATATTTTCTAGCAGTTTGAAAGAATTCTTCATTCTGTGAAGTTCTTGTACCTGTACTGGATGACCAGCATGAATAGCTCCAGTGATGTCCAAAGCCCAAGAGTCACGTTCCTCCCTGGAGCAACATTCAAGGAAATAGTCTGTATTGGTTTTTGTCTTTAGTTTGATGAGTAGCTGTGGAGAAAGGACAAAGCAATAACATCATTTAGTTATTTCGCTCATCTTGCATTTTGCTTTTTTTAGCAGTGGCCCAAGTGATACAAATAAGTCTGAAAGTGCATCCCACCCAAGCAGTTCAGAGCAATTCTTGTTCAGAAGGATGGTGGGCACAAATCTGGGTTGATTTTGGTGAGGATTTTTTGTTTGTTTTTGTTTGTTTGTTGTTTGTAGGGGTTTTTTTGTTTTGTTTTGGGTTTTTTTGTGTGTGTGTGGGGAGGGAGTGGTTGGCTCTTCTATCCTCCTCAAATCCCTGGGGTTTCAGTTATAAACGTGGTTTACATGCATGGAGAGCTCCTGGTACTTAGAAGAGAGCAGACCACACAGATACTCCCCACAGAAGAAATCTGCATTGCTGCTACCCATAGGAGAGCAGAAAAACACAGGAAGAACATTTTCTTCCAGAGTCCTCTTGCTGAAAACTTTCTACAGCAGCAATATCCCATTGGTGAAGGAAAAATGATTCTGGTCTGGCTGTCTGGGAGCACCCCATGGATATCCAGGCTTTAAGACAACTACCACAGGTGATATTTCTCTTTTCCCCCACCCTCCTCAGGTTCTATTGGGTTGTTCATGTCCTCTCTCCACACACTGTTGGGCTGATGCACTTATATTTTTTTCTCTTCACTGTGTGGTACAGGAGTAGTGGTTGGGATTGTATTTTTTGTTAATAGCTGACATACATTTGGGCACAGGGAAGAGACACAAGGAGGGATTCAGTGTTTGTCCTGGTTATACTGCTAGAGGCAGCTTGCTTTTGGCTGGGCCTAATTCTGGAAGCACCCTAGTGGTATGGATGCAGTAATCAAAGGAGCCAGGAGGAGAGGAAAAGATAGGAAGAAGTTAGAAAATGAGTGACAGAGAAGAGATACATTTTTGCAGTCATACCGGTCTGTTCTCATATTCCAGGCATGGACAAGTAATAGTGCAGCCATCCAAAAGGATCCTGCCCTTTGGAGAAGGCTCCTTCTTTCCTCCTTCAATTTTGTAATACAGCAGCTTATCCTGAAGCAGGACAAACCATCTCACTTTCCAGTTACGAACGACATGTCCCTGAAGGGGAAGAAATCCACACAGCTGATTGTAACACAAGCATTGAGAAATGACCATATTTTCTTATTGGCTTCTTGTATGAAAAGAAGCACAAGTCATCGTGAGTCCTGTTCTCCCTGAAATACACATTTTAAGTAACAAAATAGCAAAGCTCCATTACTATAAAATCACAGAGAAATATAAAAGTGCTGTGCTCTTTCTTCAGCCTGGAGAACTTTGCTGGCACAAATTGTTTCTTGTAAAAGCTCACATGAACTATCCCAAAGTGCTGATGTAGGTGCACACCTGTCCGCTGACAGCAGAAACAGGGCTAAATCCAAAATGTGTGAGGGCTCTTGGCAGCCATCTCCTCCTCTCTGGTGACCCTGGGTGGTGTTTCTTTCATTTTGATGTGCCTCTAGGTGCCAAGTGGTTTTGCAAGCAGTTTGCTGGGTGAATTGTCTTTTCCTTACGTCCCTCACTTACTGTTAATGAGAAGTTCATTTCAATCCCACCTGCCTCTAATCTGCTGGGCTAAAACATTCCCTGTGCTACTGTTTCCTGTAAAGGAAATATGCTTTTTGATGACAAAAGACTGAATGAAGGCTGCTGTTGAATGCCTCATGGTTTATATAATACAGACAAATCCTCCTAATTTTCCTCTGTAAACAGCCCCCAGCTCTCTTCAGTCTGGTTAAAGGACAGCAAAGCCAGTGAGGGCTGGCACTGGCAGGCTTAGTCCTGTCTGATGGTGTCTGGTCCAGCTTTGCTGTGCAAGAAGCTGACTTGTGTTTCTACGGGGGATGGAGCGTTACAGCCAGCAGGCAAAGCAGGGGGTAAAAGGAAGCTCTGACACCTGGGAGAGAGTGGGCATGGCTTGGAGAAAGAAACATGTAAGGTCCAGTTGTGGCATGAATCAAAGCTCGTTAGTTCTCCATAAATAAAGGGGAAACCCAGCAATCTCCAAGTAAAGGTGGAGTAATGAATCTTTTAAATCCAGAGCACTGTAGATCCACTTTTTTCTAGTCCATACTAAATACAATTTATTTATCTCATGTTTGTTCTTTCCTTCCCTTTGTGTTCCTCATGTTTTTTTCCCTTGTTCTAAAGTTACTTGGCCATTTTTCCTGTATGTTCTTTGCTATGGCTTTATTCTTTCCTTCTAGAAAATGTTCTCTTTTCTCAGGAGATTGCCTTACCTTTTTTTATCTTTACCTAATTTCACACATTCATTTTGTATATATAATGCATTACAGTACATAATTTTTCCATTATTCTTCCATAATTCTCCCATCCCATCCCATCCCATCCCATCCC